TCAATATGCCTCTATTGTTGAAGAAACTCGATATAAAACTGTCACTAAAGGTAATGAAAACATTCCCATAAGGTCGTATTTTGCATCACTTTTAAATAGTATGAAAATATAAGAATCAAGTCATTTTCGACGATGCCCGGCTAAAGAATACAGGCTCTGCATAATCCGTTCAAATATTTTGCCCATTTTCAAAAGTTAATCTATCCAGTTCGCACCAATGAATGTACTTTTCTGATAAAAGCAACATAAATCTAGTGAATCAAACGAAAACAAATCAAAGAAATGTGCCTGCGGCAGTTCCTACAGGATACGTGGTTGACACTTCGCCCCCCCCCCCCCATATATCAGTGCACTAACTCATTCCATTTCAGGATTACAACCTGATTTTCAGATACCTAGCTGTATACTTTCTACTCGAAGGAAAGATGTTTACATAACATTGTGACGAAATTAATATAATTATTCCAGCTGTAATTAACAATCTCTAATTTTATCTCAACTGAATGAGTCCACTAGTTCAATCATATTCTATTTTGCTGTATTTCTCATCTTTACCTAAGGTAATTCGGTTGGTGGATAAAATAATGAAAACCAAAACACACCCATATTTGACAGGAGTTGATGAAGCGGGTTGTCCTCTGGTACCGTTCTGATGAATTGATGATTTCCTCCTGGTACAAGCTGTCGGTGGAACTTGGTGGTTGGTATGTACACTTTCTTGTCATCAGAACTCGAGAAGAAGTGGAAGCTTCCGTCATCGAGAGGAAGAAGACATAATCCTTCCAGATCTTGTCTGGCGTCCTCTCGCAAGATGAACTCAAGGATCAGAAGCTTCTCATCAGCATTGAGCTTGGTCAAAATTGCAGGATCTTCACGGAGGCAACGGCAAAGGCTGGAAGCAGAAACAGTGGATATCTGATCTTTGTAGAACTTCCTGATGGCCTGTCTGCACACACTGGGAACCCTTGCGTATGCAATGCCTTTGATGTTGAAGCACTTGAGGATGACCTTTTCCATATCTTTATCCACATTCAATTCGTTGAACTGGACGTCGGCGATGTTCATCCACCCATTGTTGTCGCTATGTATAATAGTTTCCTGGAAGAGAGCATTGTAGAATGGTTCCAAGAGAATGTCCCAGTTTCCACGAACCGCTTCATGATCTGGCCACGATCGATAGATGCAATCGACGGTCACGCTGTCGTGAGAGGTATGACTACTAATGGCGTATTTGATCGCGTCGACATATACAATGGGAATAAGTTCTCTCACAAGAAGTTGGTTCCAATGTGCTAGAGTGTCCGTTTGGTCAGGTCCGGGCCACTTGATCCCGCGGCGATCGCTATTGACAGCAAAGAATCCATGCACATGAACTGGTAAACCCGTCCGACTCTCCTCACCAGGTGGCAGGGGGAGAAAGCAGAACACTCTACCAATGTTGTTATTCTCTGCCTCACTTGCTACATTGCTTGGTTCTGAAGAACTCACGGGAATAGCAACAGCTGCCCAAGGGAGATGACTTTGTTTCTCGGCCAAATCTGAAAGCTCTTGAGACATGCTATCACCCGCGATATGATGACTAACAACCCAGCGTTGTGCATTGGATGCCTCCGGTGTTTCGGTAGTGAATGTCACACAATCAATCAGCTTGATTGGCCCTCGGCGCCCGCTCACATCAGAGCAGTAAGTTTCTAGACGTGAAGAAAATTCCTTTCCCGGTGGATGTGTTTCTGGATCGTGTTCCCTTCGAACTCGTACAACAAGTGATGGCTCTTGCAGATCGGATCGCCTCTTTAACACCTCGATGTTATTCAAAGAGCGCAAAAACAGCATAGCAACATCAGCATCGGCTCGAAAAGCCAGGAGGAGCTCGCTTAATGTGCCTTCATCGCTGTATATTTTGTCACTTAAACTATTTGCCGCATGCCGCAGAGGAAATCTAAACAACGTGCCGTCGAAATATCCCGTCGAAATCCCTCCTGTTACTCCGGGAAATATGTTGTGGTACGGTTGAAACTGGTCTTCGTTCTTCGAGAATATGTCGCTGTCGGATCCGAGACCAAATTGCCATCCAGTTTTGACTCTACCACGCTTGTCAAAAAAATGTTCCTCTAATGGATCAATGAATGCCAGCTTTTGGTCGCTCATGATGCTCGGTAAATCTGAAAAGTAATCGAAAGGGTGATAATTATTAAGTATAAAAGTAATAAAACAATAATGCTTGCAATGCTAAAAAAGTATATAAAAGTATATGAAACAATCCAGGTGCATACCCCCCCCTCAATTTTTTTTGTGTGTGTGTATGTTTTGGAGGAACCACCCCCGCCCCCTCACCCCTCATTTTTTTTTTTAATTAAAAAAAAGAAAGAAAACGAGAATTGTGCTAATGGGTGACCAAAAAAAGGTGACATTACCCACCCAGCCCCCCCCCCCCCAAAGGAACGAAATATCGATCGGCCAAATTTTCTAATTTCGGGACAATTTTTTTGCTGTTACCATCTTTTTTCAGCAGCTTTGTCTGAAAGGACCAAACTCTCCAGTAACTACTATTATCAACTACTACTATTTTGATTATGCTCTGACTTTTCAAACTCAGCAAATATTTACTTCACCCTACAAAGATAAACCACTTTCCATTTAAAAAACCCCGCACATTTCAATAGCCAATAGGCGCCGGAAAACAACTGCAGAGTATCAAGACATTTCCCTCAGGAGGGGCTAAACTACTCTGGTCTATAACGAAACGACTTTTAGGGGTCTTTATTTGCGGCACAGGCATGGGAAAGGGGTGGTATCACCAAAGTAAAACATTTTTAGAATATTAACAAGGTCATTATGGGAACGTGTCTATATGTTGTGTGCTTCCATTTTTTAATCTATGTATCTATTGTATCCAAGCGCTGGGATTTCATATTAGGGGGGGGCGGTAGTGAACACGCGAATAACTTAAAGAGCGCGCGTAGCGCGCTCCCTAGGGGGTGGGTGCAGAAGGTGCGGAAGCTTTGCAAGAAGACGATTCGTTGTACCTTTCTCGACTCATAATCCTTGTCTGAATTCAGTCCGCCCCTTCTGCGCATAGCGCGGAAGCTTTGACGTATTACTAGACAAAGAAAACGATTCGTTGTACCTTTCTCGACCCTTAATCTTTAACTGTATTCAGTCCTCCTCTTTCGAAGCGCGGAAGCTTTGACGTTTCATTAAATTATTATGGAAAAAGATGATTCTTTGTTCCGTTCTCGACTCTTAATCCTTAATTTGAACTCAATTTCCTCCCCTCCCGCGCAAAGCGCGGAAACTTTGAAGTTTCATCAAATTATTAGAGAAAGAAGACGACTTGAAGTACCGTTCTCGACTCTTAATCCTTGTCTGAATTCAGCCCCCCTCCTCCTGCGCATAGCGCGGAAGCTTTGACGTATTATTAGACAAAGAAGACGATTCGTTGTACCTTTCCCGACCCTTAATCCATATCTGTATTCAGTCCCCCTCTTTCGAAGCGCGGAATCTTTGACGTTTCATTAAATTATTAGAGAAAGAAGACGATTCTTTGTTCCGTTCTCGACTCTTAATCCTTCATTTGAACTCAATTTCCCCCGTTCCGCGCGAAACGCGGAAGCTTTTACGTTTCATTAAATTATTAGAGAAAGAAGACGATTCGTTGTACCGTTCTCGCCTCCTTTCCCTTTTTCTTCCTACGTCCTCTTACTTTTTTTCTTCTCTTTCTCTTTTTTTTTTTTTTTTTGCCCGGCATTTTGTTTTATGGGGGCGACCGCCCCCACCGCCCCACCTGGCTACGCGCCTGTTGGTATCGTTCTCACCTGTTATGTGGTACACGGAATTGAATCCAATGCCGAAACGTCCAACTTTCAGGCGATCCGTTTTCTTCTTGCTGCGGGCAGGTGTCTGAATCCCATTCCAGTCGGCTTTCTTGAACTTGGCGTTGTTGAAAGAGTAAAGAGCTGGTCCCTGGTAAGGTGCTAGAGAATCTAGGTACAGCGTCTCGGTCCCATGGTGCCGTACGTCATAAAGGAATTTGACAGTATTTGCGCCGGCATCCTCGGCGTTCTGGACAAGCTCCTGCAAAGGCAAAGTAGCGTCAATTTACCAGGGCATGACTTTGTGCTCTTACAAAAAAGAGTCTATGACAATGTACACTAAACTTGTTTTCTTCATGTATCGTACCTCAAATTAATTGTAATCCACCATTCCCAACCCCTCCCTCTCCGGGATCGGCCAATGTAAGAAGTTAAGAACATTACTGACTCGTAAATTTTTGTTATAATTTTTTTGTAGTAGGTCAAAGTCTATATAAAGCCGAGACAGTTGCACTTAGTACAGGGCCGATACATATTTGTCAATACACTTAACGAGGCTTAGATCTTGAAAAATATATTATTAATAACAAGCAGAAGCTCCCTACCTACATTATTCTCTACATCATGGGCGGCGCTCTGGGAAGGGGGGGGGGTGGGGGCGGGGCGGAACAAGGGGGTACAGTGCCCCTACACTTTTTAAAGTGCCCCAAAAGTGCACTTTTTTATTTTGGATACTTTTGCCCCTTCCCCATTTTCATAAGTGCTCCTTTTTAGCTCGGATAAATGCCCCTAATCGATTCTGACAGGTACTTTTCTCCTTCGTAATAAATGCCCCTTTCCCTTTCTTATAAGTGCTCCTTTTTACCTTTGATGAGTGCCCCTTTGCAGGTGCAAGATGTGCCTCTTTTTACCTCAAATAAGTGTCCCTTTTACGTTAAACATGCCCTTTCCCCTTTTTAATAGGTGCCCCTTTTACTCTCTGATGAGTGCCCCTTTTACTTTGACACGTGTCTCTGTCATTTCTTACAAGTGCCCTTTCACCTTTTGATAAGTGCCCCTTTTTACTTTCTAATAAGTGACCATTCCCCTTCTTCTAAAGGGGGTGGGTGCCCCAAATTTCATATCTGGAGTAATCTTGAGTAATTTAATGATCCTTCTGCGAATCACATTAACGTAGTGAATGGTTTACCTTTATGATCTGGCCGTCACTATATTCCCTTAAAATGGTCTTTAAGTAGTCTACTAAAGGTGGAACGGATATCCCGAAATCATCTGGAAAAAAAGAGAAGAGAAATTGTGTAATGTTTTGGAATATAATTTTCTAATATATCCAGTCACAAGTAAACAAAAGCAACAAAAAACACATAAGAAACACAAAAGTAAACTTTTTTGTATCCCTTATTCTAGAAAATAATGTTTCGTAGAATGTTTTCGAAATTTCGGCATATAACCTGAAGAAAAAGGAAAAATGCCTCACCACTTTTTACTTTTTTTTTTTGGGGGGGGGGGGGGCGATGGGGTACTAATTTTTGTTTTATGACAACAAACCGCAACCCCATCCCATATTCCTCATAAACCCTTTGTAGAAGAGCTGACTGGGATGAAGTTACATGTTTCTGAGTAACCTTATTCAATGCTTTTTTGGATACCTACTCGTAAGTAAAGAAAATGTATCTTTTGAATGCACTTACGCTTATTTAATTAAACCTTCCCAATATTCTTATCAAGTAATGGTCCGAAGTGCAGGTAAAATGGTCTATTGTGGTGCAATCGACGCCAATTTTTTCTGGGAATGATTTTATGCATGTGAACAGAATTCTACGTTGCAACTCTTATATTTTAATTGACATTAATAAATACATCTGTTATTATATATCATGATGACTCTCATTTGAATAATGCCCTAACAATAAAAGAAACAATAAAACAAAGTTCACCGAGATATTAGAGGTGATGTTTTGAATTCAAGAAAAACCTCTCCGCCTTTCGTTGACAATATGGACCTAACCAAGGTAGATATGTTTCATTTTACTAATCTAAAATTGATCATTTGATAAACATTTTGAAGGCGTAATTCTTGAATGTGTTGAAATAAATTGTACTCACGGTCATTGTCTTCTCTCTTTGCCTGTGCATGTGAATAAAACGAAAACAAAAAGGTGAAAAAAATACAGAATAAACCAAACCATTTTTTACAAAAAATAACATTTTCGAAACATATTTCAAAGAAGACTTGAACCACCGTTGTGTTATAGGAAAGAGAATTAAATCATTTACATTTTGATACTAATTTCAATAGAACATCGAAATTTGTTAGTGAAAAAGCATTTTGTTGATTTTTTTTCTCACAAAAAAGGAATTTTATCGACAAGATCCTTTTCCATATATCGAAATCAGATAAGTTTATTTTAATAACTTTCAAGGAATTCGCCCATCTATAAGGAAAGGTTCATCCCTCTTTTCAGTGAAAATTAGAGTCCCAAAGTTATTGACTGCTTTCTGTAGTACTGTATTGACTATTGAGAAAGCGTTTGGTGTGTTTAAATCTATTTTTAAAGATAAATTTCAATTCGATCACCATGGGTCTGTTGTCTTATGATGAAAATTTAATTACCTTTAAGTTGATATCAATTTCGTTGAGTTATGGAATGTATAAAATATAAAATAGCGGCCAAAATGTGTTGTTTGTGCTCAACTGACTTTTTATTTTTTTTTAAATCTGGGACTGTACAGTAGCTCAACGGTGACATATATTATTTACAAAGTAATGTACAGTGTTCCAATATGAGTGTTAAGTGTAATTGATAATTACTTCTTCTATACTTTGTGACGTGTCAGAAAATTTTGGGGTGATCAGTAGCCCCCCTCCTCCTCTTCATCGACTGTTCTTTGACCCCCTCCCTCCTATTGGTGGGGTTAAATAGAGTTTCAAAGGGGAAGTCCACCCTGATATCAAGCTGGCTTTTATAGCAAAAAAGTGAAAGGTACATGTCAGTGAAAGTTTGAGCAAAATCTGATTTAAAATAAGACAGTTATGAATTTTTGAAGTTGTGATCAATCAAACACAAATTGGCAACTCTGTGACGTATCTTTCGAGGTCCCCACCCATTTGCTCTGTACTGAAGAAAAAAATCATGAATTTCTATTTCTGCCCAACATAAAAATTTCCAGTCATACATGCACCATACATATAATTATTGCAACCCCTTTAACAACAAATATATTCCCTCATCAAGGCGGGATGGGAGGGGCACGACCGCCCATTTTCACATGAATACGATCGAAAGGGCCGCCGTTTCGGAAGCCCCTCCAACTTTTTTTCTCTTACCTCTAAAATATTGTGTACCATTATAAAAATCTATTGAATAAACAAGAAGTACTTACTTTGTAAAGTAGTGGAAATTAATACCAAAACTAGGCATGATATTTGACTTTGCCCCTACGCTTACTGTTATACATAAGGAAATTAATATCGATCCCGTGGGTTGTGACTTTTGTGGGTCTTCGGATCATGTGAATCCTCTGAAAAGTGGCTGGAAGGCTCACGAGATTATTATCATTATCATTATTATTATCATTACCGGTATTACTATTATTATTATTATTATGGGTATTATTATTATTATTATTATTAATTATAATTATATTTTACTTCATTATCATCATAGGTCTCGTGGGCTGTCGGTCTTATGTGCAAGAGCGGTTAGTGGAGCTGTCAAAACAACAGTGCCCCTTTCATCCTAACTTAATTATTGTCATTTGAACCTCGTGCAATCATATGAATCTTTTCGGGGTATTTTTTTGTTTATTTGTTTATTTCGTTTGGTTTTTAATTTTACTATTTCAGGAATAACCATGATTAGCAGGGGCAGATCCAGAATGTTGTGGGAGGGGGGGGGGGGGTGAGGGGTGCAATTCCCCAAATCTCTGACAAGCCAATTTAAAAAAAAAAGTTTTGACAAGTAAGCAACAAACAAAAAGATCATCTTTCAGGTGCCTTTGTCGCCGAACACTTCAACTAAGCACAGTTGGGGCAGAGACCGGTTGTGCTCCTACCCCCCCCCCCCAATCTGATAGTAGGGCGCTTTCGCAAGCTGTATCGCCGTTATTCTCCTGTTGTCTTTGCTTCCGTCGCGTTTGCGAAAGCGCCCTAGTGTAATAATGATACCGCATGTACACATGTGTTTACAATTTTCAATTTCCTGAATAACATGACGGCATGTGATTGCGCAACGGTTCACATTGTCATCGCGTGATAATATGTTATTGCGAAATACATGCCCGTGTATTAGAATGAGTCACTTGCGATTATACAGGGCGTTTCAATACAAATTTAAAGTAATCTTTCCATTTGATAGCTTGAGTTCCTGTTTACAAGACTTTTTATCCACATTATTCTCTGTGCCTCTACAAACAGTCGGAAATTCATCATTTCGAGCCCATCCTGCTGATAGTTTAAAAACATGATGCTCTTTTTAATTTTGCCCTTACTTCTGCACAAAAAAACAAAACATATTTCTTCAATTACGCTATACACCCATTCTGGAACTGGCATCAATGATGATAAATATATAATTTGAGAATAGCCATATACTTTCAATAATTGAATTTTCCCCATTAATGTTAAATCGCGCTGCTTCCACCACGTAAAAAGTTTTTTAATCTTGCTCAATATTTCTTTATGATTCATTTGTTCTTTGATATCTTCGTGTATTGAAAAATAAATTCCTAGTATTTTAACAATGTCAACTTGCTTCCCAAACGGAAATGTATGAGTGGATATTTGTGGACCTAAGGGCAAAATGAATGTCTTGTCCTTGTTTAACTTTAAGCCTGATATTTTTATAAAAACATTCAAAAATATGTTTAATTTCCTTAAATGAATTCGAATCTTCAATGAAAAGCGTTATATCGTCTGCGTACAGAACTTGCTTTATTTCTGTATTTCCAAAACTGATTCCTTTCATCTCATATGAGCTAAAATTTCAATAGACATTGTGAAAGACTTGAACGTTGTGAAATCAATCAGAAAACGTTGATCATCTAGCATATAAGCATTGGTGTGTACTGCAAGGTTCTGGAATCATCAAAATGATAAGAAATTTGGCCCAGTCTTGGTAAAGTTACAAGCACTGTACACAGAAAGATGTATATGGGACTACCCTATATCTATCCAGTCCGGATAGATATTATAATTTGCCAAATATATCAATCAATAGGAGGTTTCCCGGCAAAATTTGTATCATCACGTATTAGTAAAAACATATTCTTTCACATGATTGGTAATAAGAGCTTCCATTTCACTTGTTGAGAGGGGGGCGTTTCAAAAAACTGGTCTATACCTTTAAATGCTTACGATTTGTTTCATGTTGTCGAAAATCATAATATTCAGTCAAAATTCCAATATGTCTTGATTCGTTTTCATTATAACGGCCCAGCGCTCACTTCCATCACCTACCTTGTCGCAACCAGACAGATTATCATACCCGAGGGTCCTAGAAAACAGAAAGTCACCATTTAAAATTATGCAAACTTTCATTTCACCATTTTTTCTTTAAGAAAAAAAATAAAAAATAAATAAGTTTTAGGTAATTTTTAATACCTTTTTTGTGCCTACTTTTTGGCGTATATTGACATATTTAAAATGTGTTTTAACTTGAATTAAAAAAATATATGACATTTTCTAAAATTCTAATGTTCTTGATCCGTCAACATGGTAATAGCCCTAGTGGTCACATGCACCACAAACGTTGTGGCCAACAAGCACATACTGATGGGTCCTAAAGAAGAGAACAAAAATGTGTGCCTTTTCAGTTTTTGGCCCATGGACTTATACTGCTAATATGTTGGAATTGCCATATACGGTACATGTACAGTGTGTTTCCACTCAAAATGCGCATCCTGCAAAAAGATATCAATTCATTTGGAATTACAAAATGACTTATCCATCACATTATTTGATAATTTTTTCTTTCTGTTTTGTGGCGTGACAACATATATTGTTTAATCAAGAAAAAGAGTTTCATTGAACAGATTAATGGTGTGTCAACAAATTTGAAATATAATTAGTTTTGATAGTCCACTATTCGGAGTAAATCACACTTTTATGTTTCATTGCACTATACATATGTAATATCCAACACTCAAATGTATATTTAACAAGTTTATTACTTCAAATTTTGTGCAAAAAATGACACTTTTAGTATTAAAAAAATGCGCGTGGCATCCACTAGTCCAAATTTTGTCCTTTTTTATGTATTTTTCTAATTCTTCAATCATCTATGTCCTCCTCTAATTACACACATCCCACACAGAGTGTGGTGTCTCCACTCATCTCCACTCATCGCTCGATCCCCCGAAACAATCGTCGAAACCCGAAACAATCGTCGAAAAGAACGTCTAGACTCGAGACGCTTTTGCCAGTGTGCGGGGTCAAAAGTTCGCGCTAATGTTTTCTGACGTAAGGCATTCGCTTTTGCCCTAATGAATATGCATCAGTAACATCGTCGAGCTGTGTGTTTACTTTGTGTGTGTACTTCAAATCGGCAACAATTAGGTATGCCCTGCCTGAAACAGGTTCTAGGACAACATTACTTTCCCCTGGGCAATCACCCTCCCCCCGGCCGATTACCAGCGGGACTATTACCCCCCGCAAGGACTATTACCCCTGAGGACAATTACCTCCCCCCCCCCATGCACAATTACCTCCCAAGGACAATTACCCCCTGAAAATAACCCCCTAAGACAACCCCCCCCCCTTTCCACGTGCCTCCTGAGGACAAGTACCCCCCGACAAAATTATGCTTTTATTAATACCAACGTATTATCAGGGTGGACTTCCTCCTTAATGAATAGGGGGTAAGTTTCAGGGGTGGGGGTAATTGTCTTGGGGTGGGGTAGTTATCATAGGGGGTAGTTACAGGGGGGTGGGGGGGGGGTAATTGTCCTGGGGTAATTTTCCGGGTGGTGCAAGACACATGTGGGCGATGAGAAGATGGCGCACTTTTAGATACATCACGCGTTTTTGCTAAGTGAGAAAACCCGAGGAAGAAAAGCAGAAATGTCTGCTAGGAAAAGGATCTAAGATAACCCAAATACCATCGCTAAATACTTTGAACAACCTGGAGA